AAAAATCATAACTTGAGCTACAAGCTTCTTTTGAGGAAACTTTGTGAATCAAGGTTGTAGATTTTGCAATGGACTATAACTTTCATGTTTTGAATTTTGTTTGAATCCAAATGTATCTTGATGAAAAGATGGGACAAAGTTAGGAAAAAATTAGGAATTTTCATAACTTAGAAAAATTCTAAGTTATGAAATTTCTTCATTTCAAACCCTAATTTGTGATTTTTGATTTCTTGATGAACAAGCTTCATGATTTGACATGTTTTGATGAAAAATGAATCTTGACACTTGATTTTGACCAAAAAGTCAAAGTTTGACTTTTCAGTATACAGTCAAATTTGGCTCAGTTGACTGGAAAATTCATCTGTCAATCTTGTGCATTTGGGATCTTTTGAACTTGTTGAATATGTCAAGACAATGCCATTGAGTCCTTGAGTCCATATGTGAGCTTGGTTTTCCATTGGCTAGGTCAAATAGTCAAAAATTGCCTTTGTGCAGTCAAAACCCTAAAAATGACCATTTTGCCCTTTTGGTCATCTGATCAAATTTATTGTGGAATTGTGATCCAAACTTGATCAAATGGTCCATATGAGTTCATAATGTTGATGTGGGTCAAAAATCATGAGGTTTGACTGTCAATTGACCACAGTTGACTTTTCTCCAATACAGCTGATTTCTAGGTCAACTGTCCAATTGACTGGGCAAAGATTGGAATCAAGGCTTGAAACTTGGTATGGATAGACTTGTGAGTTCAAAATGAAGCATGAAAGTCATCTTGGGCATTTTAGGTCAAAACATATTTGTGCAAACTCAAACCCTAATTTGGGTCAACAGTGCAAGGAGAAGTCTTGAGCAAAGCAAAACCCTAACTTGATCTTGAGCTCCAAGGGTCTTGTGGTGAGAAAATGTTGAGGAAATGGGAGGGTAAATTTTGGGGTACAACAACTATTATAACACGGTGGGAGAACTGACTTGGAATGTTTTGCTTTTGATTGCAATTGTTGCGGATAGCAAGAGTCGCCACTGGCTTTTCTGTTATCCAATGAAGGAAAGGGTGAAAAGAACATGAAAGACCTTTGAGATTATTCTATTGAGTTTGGGGGGTAGATTATGAAAAGGGAAGGTGTTATCACCCTTTTCATCCATAGTCATCTATGGGCTGTTAATTGCTTGCTAGATCATTGCTTTTTGTTTGAAAATATGCTTTGTGGTGGTTTTTGAAAGTATTTTTGAAAGCGCCTTCGTTTAGGCAAACTTTGTAATGATTCTCATCTCTATAAGAATGTATACAAAGTGTTGGACTTTTGAAAATATTTCATGGAAAGTGTTGGTGCATTTGAAAAGGTGTTTGTATTTGAAAACGAACAAGCAACTAAGAACGTTCCTACCTACTCAAAAGTCTTTTATTCTTCTCCTCCTTTAGATGTTGCTATCTTACCATTGGTTTGGTAAGAAGTCCCATCATTGGATGTAAAGGGACAGACGTGGGTCATCGTATAGTCATGAGAACAATGTTGTGAGATATCTTAGAATTTCTCTTGAGGGACTAAGATCATTTGTAATGCAACATTCGAAGCGTCATCGAGGGACTATGATCTTGTATTTTTGAGTATTTTTGCTAAGACATCTCACATGCATAACATGACCATTTTCATAAGGCAACAAGTGGAGTTAACCCTAGAGATGCAAGTGTGCAAGTGTTTGTATTTCATGCTTGATTTGTCTTGGATTAGTGTTCTCTAAGATTAATTTTTATCTTCCCATACAAATCCTAATTACTAGCATTTATATGAAAGCGATAAATTGCTGAAAGTAAATATTCTACACTATTACAATCATTTGGGGAATGGGGTGTACAAATTTACAAATGGGGACTGCAAGAAATTAAAGTCCTAATTATCTATTACAACCATATTGAAATGATGTACAAGAATTGAAATGTAAAATATATTTGTTTTGTTTTTTGGTTAAGAGAAAAAAATAAATTTGTTTAAGAAAATATTTTTAGTCTTTTTGTTTTAGAAGAAATAAAGCGAAGTGTATGAATATAAAGTATATTTGGTATTTTTTGATTAAAGAAAATAGAAGTGATGATAAAAATAATAATAGAAAAAAGAATCAGAGTCAACGCATTGCTGAAATGATAGAAATAAGGGACATAAGTTCTGACTCTGGTGCGCTGCAAATCAGAAAGAAAATGTTAGCAGAAATGGGGAAGGCCAGAAGTTCTGGATCTGGACGCACTAAAGTTCTGGAGTTGCTGGGAACAAGGGAAAGCCTATAAATTCTGATTCTTTAAGAAAGCCTAGAAGTTCTAATGTTACTCGAAGGTTAAAATTCCTGGTTGTTGAGAGAGACTAGAAGTTCCAGTGTAGTTGGAAACCTAGAAATTCTAGTGTTACTGGCGAGCTTGAAGTTCTAGTAATGGGTAAGTGAGGTGTCAATGCTGTTGGATGAGGATATTTGGAAGTTCTTGTCCAGGATCACTGTTTTGACAAACAAATGAAAGGGGTTTATCTAGAAGTTCTGGTCCAGGAATATTGTTTGACAGATAATGGGGGAAAATATCAAGGAATAAACATAAAAAGGGTGTTTCTGGGACTAGAGCTCAGGACCCTTAACACTAACGCCTTATGTCCGCGTTCTCTACCACTGGGGTGGCTATACATCCGGTATTAGAAGCAAAAACATAAACATATATTACAAAGTAAATTCTGATGATGAACTTCATCATTTTCTTCGTGCCAACCAGAGTATCTGCAACTTAGTCATTTCTCAACAAAATGGAAAATGCAAACATAACGGTTATGGCAGATTTCATCATGGTTTCAGAAATACAAAGCATCAAAACTGTAAACCAGAAGCAAGCATTTTTACTAATCCTAAATCTGAAACCTAATTTCCTCAAGAAGTTCTGATATGAAATTCTCTCTACTTAGGCAAAATACATGAAATCCATAAATATGTACAGAATCAGAGTCATGATGTCTATATTGTATCTTTGGAAATGCAAGCTTAACAATGCCTAAGCAATTAGATAAAAGTCAGAAGAAACTTACCTTGCAGCTGGAATTTTTTCTGTGAATTAGAGCCTGGTTCAGATTGTTGTGATGTTCTGATCAGTTTCCTCAAGTTCTCAGAAAGCTGAAGCAACTCTTAGCTTGAGCTATGAATGATGGGAAAGTTCTAGTGCAGTCATGGTGCAAAAATTCTGGTTTTTGAAACGGAGAGTGGTGAATACTGTTTTACAGTTTGAAAATAGAAGTTGGGGAAGCTTCTATGTGTATTCTAGAAACTGTATGGATGATTTGGTTCAGAAACACACAAGAAAAAAATTAGAGTTTGAATGTAGAAATCAGAAAACTAGCAAGTTTCGTGTTTATGTTTGCAGTTTCAAGTTCTTGGGATTTTTCAGCAAGGTTTCAAGGCTTTTTTTTCAATATCCTCCCCCCCCCCCCCCCCCCCCCCCCGACCCTTTAAAAGTTACAAATGAAGTTTAATTTATAGGCAAATGATTTAGAAGCTTGGAGAAGTCAAGAGTACAACCATCATGTGTTATGGATAGTTGACTTGTTTTTGAAGCAAGTTTAGACAAGTATGGTTCAAGGCACAAATAAAGTGGTTAGCAGCTTTAGCCGCGCCTAATTTGATTTTGTAGGCATGATTTGTGGAGAAGTATATTTAGAAGCAAAAGTAAAGCATGGGCCCAACATAAACTTTGTACAAACGTTTACTTTCCAAGGACAGCAATGTTACTTCTATGCTACACGTGGGAAAATCCTTTGGATAAAGACTCAAAAGTGGGTGTGAACATTAAATGATGATGAGATTTAACAAGCCAGAAAGCCTGCAACATGAGATTATGCATCATAGCTTGAAATTGGATAAGAAATTCAGCATAAACGTAACTTAAATTAAGAACAAATGTCCAACTTCTGATCTTTAAATTTTCCTGCCCAGCATGATCTGAAGGAGTTCTCAGACTTTTCAGAAAGCTTGTAACATGCTTTGTAAACCCTCTTTGAATTACTTTTGCAAACTCTGATCGTAACTACGTGAGAACTGGCCCAGAAGTTCTAACCAAATTCTGTCTTGGAAATGCTCAAAATTTACTAAGTGCTTTAGTTTCATGGGCTTGTCTTCAGGAACTTATAACTTGAAAATTCAACATTTTTAAGAGAAGTTCTGTTCTGCAATGTTTTAGATCTCATTGAGATCTACAACTCTTGTGTCAAGTTCTTCCTGAATCGCATCATGATGAAAATCTGACCAGAAGTTCTGAACTTATCATACTTTCTTAACACTTAGAAAAATTTCTAAGTTTTTAGAACTTTGACTTTTCCAAAGCAAATTTGACTTTTGATCTTCTTAATGAAACAAACTTCATATTCTAACATGTCTTGATAAAATATGATTCTTGAAACTTGATTTTGATCTAAAAGTCAAAGTTTGACTTTTTAGTGTGCATTTTGACCAGTTTGCCTTTGTGCCAATTCAAACCGTATCAATGCTGCAAACTTGAGTCATGAGAGATCTTGTGAGAAATTCTTGAGAAACGAAAGGGTAAATTTTGGGGTACAATAACTATGTTCCGGTTACAGCAGATACGACGGAAGAAGAGAGAAATGAAAAAAGAGACAAGAGGAAGAAAGATCAGAAGGCGTTATTTTACCTCCATCAAATAGAGAATTCATGCAATTAGTTACAGAACAAATGTAAACTATTAGTATGTGGTGTGTCTCAATGGTATTTATTTTAGCAAACTATCCACAATTATTAACACTCCATTAAGAGATTGTTGTCAGACACAGTTATCTTCCATCCAAAGTTATTAAGAAATCATTCATCACACCAATAAAAATAATATCATCCAAGAGATTCAAGGAAAAAAATATAACTTCAAACAAAACATTACTCTAAAAACAACAACAAAAGTAACTGTAAAAACATAATATATGAGATAGGATTGTAGGAGAATTAATGAAACATCTGATCAATGATTATTAAATAGATATGCTATATGGAACCCCCTTTCCAGTAACTCCAGGTCCTGAAAATGGTTTCATTAGCTCGTAAGGCATTATTCCAGCTCCATTCCTATTTTTCAAGTTACTATCAGCATTTCTTGTGTCTATTATACCTTCAATTTCCTTCAATCTTCCATTGAACCTTTCAAATGCTACCTTTATAGTTGGATTCTCAGCCCATGATGGCTCAATGAGTTCTCCCAAGTACTCTTCATCTGGTGAATGATATGATAATAAGTTCAAAATGGTCATCACCAAAGTCGCTTGGATTTGCGATGGAAGACACTCCAAAAGTGTTTGCTCGGGTTTGTTGATGAATTTTTCCCATTCTTCCTTTGTAGGGTCTTCTGTTGGCATTTTGTTTCTAGCGACCGTTGGTCTGTTAGGAAAATAGCCTCCGTAAGCATATTGTGCAAAGTTTGTAGCTGAATGATGAGCAGATGCTACCCAAGCTATGGTGGTAATGATATCAATAAGGTCTTTCTGTGTTTTGAGTTTTGGCCACCATGGTTCTTCTGATTTGTCTCCGTGACCCTTTGTTCGAATTTCTGTCCACCATGCTTGAAGCTCTTGATCAGATTCTATGATGCTTGGACTTGGATAGTGATGATTGACATATTCTGTGACCCATTGTTTTATAGCATCCCATATGAGAAGACCGTCATTCGCAAAAGGGTAGTCTTCAATTGCTAGCTTTACTCCATGTTGTGCATTAGGGTCTTCCACAGCCATTCCTCTACAAAAATAATTTCCATAAGCAAAAGTTAGCATATAGTATTTAACATGATTTTAAAATACGGTCTGTAACCGCAATTGTTATAGATTGACGACAATATAAAGGATTTTGAGGTCTCTGTAACGTTTTGCAGCCGCAATTTTGACAGCATTTATAGACTTTACCTATAAATAAGATCATTTGGTAGTCCCTGCAAATCAAACTGCCAAAGCTTATCATATGCCACAGCCGATAATTCCATTGAATACTTTTTAGTAAAGAATGAGTCTTCAATGACTCCGTAAGCATTAATAAGAATCTCACGACCGAGTGCATTTATCTCCAAAGTATATCTGAGATGTGGATGTAGTAACTTGTAGATTGGATGCATGATGCTAAGCTGTCTATTTGTTGCAATGACAAAGGGTTCTACAACACAATGAGTCCTTAACCTATAAAATTCATCAAATTCCAATATACAAAGTTAGCACTATGAATGGCCATATCTTAAATGCATGACAGAAGATAATAATGAGTGGACTCACCAGTGGCTTATAAGTTCATGGTAACCAGTATCATGAGCAAGAACATGAGCTTTTGCAAGCCGCCAAAGCCAAAGATTTGTCGAATCAGAAGCAGGTGTGAAAATTTGTTTCCATTGAGGTTTGTCACCGATGATCGGTCTAGTAAGCTCAATAACAAGTGGCTTTAATGTGCCTTGTTTGGTGAGGAAGAACAATGTTCTTGATCCATACAGTGTAGTATTCTCCAATTCCCTCACTTTGCTTACATATGGTATATATAAATCATGGTAGTCTAGCATGAACATTTTCTTCTCTCGAATGGCCTGCATGTACTCAAATTAAACAATTTTTAATCATAACATAATCTAATCTAAATTCAATAAAATCATTGATGCTTAGTAGTTAATACCTCTTCAAGTGTGGTATAACCAATTATCTGCGACTCAATGACTTCTCTAGTGATTGCTGATTCTGGTGGACCGTAAATTTGGGAATCTAATTTACTTCTTATAGGCCATTCCTACACAGCGAGTACACCAAGAAAAAATGAATAAATTTTTTTTCCTAATCGTTGACGATATTTACTTGAAAAGTAATAGAAAATTTTTGCAATAATTTTTGCCTTGACTAATTGGATGCTATATGGATTGGCCCCTGCCAATGTCTCCCTTGCAAATTCCTCGTCTGATAGCCAAAAGAATTTGTCTCCTGCAATTCAAAAAGTTCGTAATTCAAATAACTTGTAAAACAAGTAATGTAATAAATATTTGGTTGATTACTATCAACAAATTTAAAAAGAAGTAAATGTGCTTACTTTTAAGTGCTTCTGGTGTATCGAAGCGCAAAACCTTTTGGCTATCATTTGCAGCCTTAAGAAACCTAGGAATGACTTTTTGGAGCAAGTTTAAGTTATTGGAATCAAGAGATGTAGGTAACTGAAATCCATCTTTGAAAAGTGTGTCTATGTCTTCAAAACTATCAAATCCAAGATCTATATCAGTGAAAATTGTATCTAAAGATTCCAAAACTGTTTTTACTCCTGACGAAACTGTAGTTGCGTTGAATTGTATCTTCTTTATGTCAGCAAATGCCTCGTCGCGAGGAACATAGAAATTCAAATCTCTCTTTTCATATGATGGATCTATATAACAAAAACAATAAAACCTTATGTTATATGCTTAGTAGCTTAGATGTTCAAAATACCAAATCTCTCGTAAGATTCATACTACGAAAAAAAACAGTAGGAAATGATTCTAGATAACCTGTATTGGAATGCTTTCGACCGGTACGACAGCGTCTAGGATATGGATACTGTTTGTTGCCACCAAGAACAGGCCTTTTGAGTTTACTGTTGATATCAGGATCACCAAGATCATTGTACACATCATAATCATAGATTCTGTCTGAGCTTTTTCTTTCACCTTCACCATTCCCTCTTAATTCTTTCAGCTCATTTTCTCTCAGCTTTCTTAATCCACTTGGTGTTTGTGATGGCAAATACATCTATTAATGAATTCCATGCATAAATAAAAAAAGCATACAAATTAAAATAAACATAATATTATGATGAAATTTTATCATTATCATTATCAGTACCTTGTTAGTGAAGAAAACTCTCTTAGTAGGAGAATCATGCTTTGGTTGAACCCATGATTGACACGAAAGGTGAACCGGACCATCAGGGAAACCATCAAGGACTATATTCTTTAGAAATATCTCACTGCCGTGTTCATTTTCAACCAAAACAGCACCAACATTTCCAAAATCTGCTGGTACCACAAAAGTTGCTTCATATTCTGCATCATTCTCTTTTTTCTCAGTCTCGTGTGCTTTTCCTTTTATCGTCTTTTTCTCCGAGTTCGCATCTTCATTTTTCAGATTAAAACACATAAACCAATAGAATACAAAATATTAGACTTCACAGCATGTCATTACGAATACATATTATCCAAACATATATCAAACACGTGTGTGTGCGCGTGCGTGAAAGGTATGAATTAAATGAAAGTTACTTGAATGAAGTTGAGCACCGACTAGCTCCAAAACCAAGTTACTATTACCAAAAATACCAGTAACAATATTCTTGATAAGACCAACATCACTATGTTTCACAGTGACTAAGGCCTTCACATTATGATGAGTTTTGGTTGTAGCCATTGCACAAAAACCTTAAGCTTATTTGCACAAAAACCTTAAGGCTCCAATGTGATAAGATTTCAAGATTCAGTTGCTAATTTGCTTTGGTTGGTTGTTGGTTGGTGTTGTTGACACTATATTAATTGCATTTTTAAGAGACATAAAAAAAGAACGTGACAATAATGGTGGCTAGCTAGTAGCCACAAATTCTTCAAGCCATTCCTTATCTATCTCTATCTATACTATTATATCTACATTATCAACAATATATATATATATATATATATATATATATATATATATATATATATATATATATATATATATATATATATATATATATATATATATATATATATATATATTCTATATAAAACCAATTGCTGAAACTTTTTTTTGAGATATCTATTCTAACACCTGATGTCAATGAATCATGTATTATATATATTGTTATAGATTATAAATTGTTTTTATAAATAATTTTGAAGAATTTCAAAAAATATTATAAATTGTTTTGATAAAATCATTTTAAATATCATGCGACAAAACTTATCTCGTAAAAATATTATAAGTTAAAATGAATTCAAACAAAATTTTGGTACATAATGTACTGTAGCCTTATCTCCTCTAGCATGTTAACCATCCCTTAGAACAAGATATCTCTATTCTCTGCGTATGTTTTCCAATATTTTCGATTATGGTTTCTCAATGCATAAAAGACACCTTATCTTCTCTTAAAGATATTGTTGCTTTTTTAACTCAACTCTCATGAATCTATCATATCTTGTAATAAAACCTTTTGTTATTGTTAAAAAACTTAGAAATTTGGATAAATAAAGTTTCTCAAAGAAAATTTACAAGTTAAAGCGCTTGAAATGAATTTCTACCTAGTGTTAACATAAGGTATTGACTTAAATCAAGAGAACAAACATTGAATCAAGTCATGAACTTACTTGGATTAAGGTCAGCACTGACAAGCTCCAACACCAAGTGATTGTTCCCAACAATACCACTAACAAGATTCTTAATAACACCACCAACACTTTGTTTCACACTCACTATGGCTTTCACATTATGAGTTTTACTTGTTGCCATCACAACTCTCAAGAACTTGGGATGAGACAAACTCCTCCTCAAACAAACCTTTTTAGGTGGAGAAGATTTCAAGAACAAGTTGCTATTGTTGTGACAAACATCTTTCTTCCATATATAGGAAGTAGAAGATGCATGGTTAATGATGAATGATCTATTAACATGTGGCTTCTTCAACAAATGCGTCATACTTTGGTTTTCCAAATTCCAATATCCCCACGATATCTTATGGTTGGTGAAACATTACTAATATTAAAATTGCATTTACCACAAGTTGCTTTTTAGATCTATATTGGGCCAACAAAATTAGTGTTTACACTTCACAAAGAATTCTACCTAGTTGCTACAAATTTTCAATTTCTACGTCATTAGGTAAACTAAAACCAATCCACTTGAAATAAGTCCAAATTATCCATTGATGGTGCCACGAAATAGAGTGTTTATTTGGGTTATCTAACCTGCCAAAGGGGACTCTTTAATCGTCTTTATTGGGCAGAAATTTATTGAATTTAAATTGTTGACATTTTAGCTAACGGTAAATTATAATGTTGAAAAACAAGCATAATTAGGTGAAGTTTTATCTTCACATTTCAATGGAGACTTCTTTATTATAAGAAATTTGATCTTACTCGTTAAGAATCAAATCTCATATGTATAGGGCTAAGTTCTGGGTGTTGCTATTTTTAGGATTGACTTTTTATACAAGTAATATAATATTATAATTTGACTTCATGAAATAAAGTTGCTAAACAAATTAATGTAAGATTATAATTTGATTTATGAAATAAATAATAAGATAAATTGTAGATATACTAGTAGTAGAATTTAGTTTGAATTTGAATAAAATTATTGAATGGTTGTTGGACTGAGCACATCCAGGCTACAGACGGAGTGTACGGGGAAAGTCGTGTCGGAAAGCGTTTTTCATATAAGGTTCAAATTTTAGTGACTTTATTATAAAAGACAAAGAAAAAGTTAAATAATTATGCCGTGTGATGCCAAGTAGAGACTTGCTTACAATTTTTTTTTTTTTTAAATGAAGGTCTTATATATCTACCTATAAGAACTTCAATAATTCTGGAAAATACACTACCGCCCTTTCAATTTAATTGGCCACGATAGTTCTTTAATACCAACTTAAGTCTTTGTGTCTTTGGCTTAATTATGTGACTAATACTTAGGTGTGTTAAAAATAATTTATATTTTAGGAATATTTATGAATAGTTTTTTATATCTTTGTTAGAGGATATTTTACTATTTTATTATATCTTAATTTTGTGTATAAATAACCTAGTAGTAGGTAGGTCAATGTAATTCATTTATTCCTTATTTTGTAGCCGTCGTTAAATATATTCCTTTTGTCTTTTCTTTCTATTTTGTGCACCAAAATTGGTATCAGAGCTCTGGTTCAAAATCCACGGGAAACACGAGTGAACAGTGAGGTATTGTGTCATTGAGAATCGTTTTTTCTGATTCTGTGGGATTTAGGAAACACTTTTAGTGAGTTTTTGAGTGAATTGCACAAGGTCGAAGATGAACGGAAACAGCGATATAAATTCCAAGCTTCCAACGTTTGAAGGCAAAAACTGGAATCGTTGGAAGATCCAGATGTGTGTGTTGTTTGGTTCTCAAGGTGTGTTAGATCTTGTCACCGATGACTATGTTCCGTTAGCAGCAGACGCAACAAAGACATAGAACATAACACAGAAGGCACTAAGGAAGAAAGATCAGAATGTGTTGTTCTACATCCATCAATATGTGAATGCAAACGTGTTTAAGAAGATTGCTGACTCTGAAACAGCAAAGGCTGTGTGGAACACACTAGTCAGATGTTACGGTAGTGACGCATCAGCGAAAAATGTGAAGCTTCAGTCTCTCATAAAGCAATATGAGAATCTCAACATGAAGGACAACGAGAAGGTTTATGAGTACACCTCTAGAGTGATTCTGATCACTAATGAGATGAAAGCTTGTGGAGAAACTCTTTCTGAACAAGTAATCATTGAGAAGATATTGAGATCTTTAACTTCTCAGTTTGATTACATGGCAATTAAATATTCCAAAGATCTGAGCACCATGAGAGTTGAAGAGATGCAAAGTTGTCTAGAGGTGCATGAGTTGCGTATGACTGAGAAAACTTCTGAGAGGGAAGTAGAGCAGCATGCTCTGAAAGTAACTTCTGGTAAGAAGTATCAGAAGCAGACTTGGTCAGAATCAAGGAAGAAAACTAATGGTGGTCAAAGGCCAGAAGCTTCAAACTCTGATAGGCAGAAGAATGTCCAGAAGAGAAAGGAGAAGTATGACAAGAAGAATGTTCAGTGTTACTGTTGCAAGAAATTTGGTCACTATGCCAAAGATTGCTGGTCAAACAAGGAAAGGAAGTCAAAAGAAGCAAATATAGCAAGAGGAGAGTCGGATGATGAACCAGTGCTATTGTTGGCTTCTGAACCTGTGTTTACCCTAGAATTTGGTAAACAACCGCTGATCCTCTAAATCCTTTAACAGATTCAGTTACTCACGAGATCGATCAGATTGATCTCAGGACTATTGTGTTCTATTATTTAGAAAGTATGTTTCGATGATAATCTTTTTTAAACAAAAAGAATCACTTCGTATGTCGAAGTGAAACTTCTTTGTGAAATTAATGAAATATAAACTAGTCTAGACTGGGAATTGTAAAGAACGTAAATAACGTAAAGAAATTTCATTGAATACAAAATATGATGCATCATACGTACATTCTCATTAACTCTTTTCTCGAACACTAGTACTTTGAGTATTTTGTACAAAGATGTGAACACTACAATTGAAACACAAAAGCTACAATTTATAGAACTTTGACCCTAACGGTCTTCTAACAAACTAATGTCACGTTTCCGCTGGCATGTCTTTGACAATCCTAAATATTTCACGCGTCCTTCTGGATAAGAATGAACATTTGAATTCAAAAACTCTTCACTTATCTGTCTTGAGCGCCAAAACCTGATAACGGTTGAAGTATAATGTTTTAAACCTTATCTTGAATAATACCTTATTTGGAAATTCTAATTTCAAACTATCCATCAATTTCGAATTCGAATCTTCATGGTTTTTAACAAACAAAATAGCCAAGTAATTTTCCTAAGTATTTTCAGATCATCGACTCAGCTCAAATTTTTCTTAGTCAAAATTTCCAGCCAACAAATTTCCCCCAACAAATATTCATTTCGAAACCAAAAATGTATATTTTTTTATAGTCTCCTCAAATTTCGACCTTCTGAACAACTCATCAACTGCTTCAACTATTATGACGTTATTATCATAATGACTTTTGATTCCCAAACGTCTAATCGCAATATGAGTATCTATAAATCTCATCATTAGCTATGATGAATAGTCTTAACCTTGGAACTTACAAAAAACCATTTATCAAGCAAATGATCACCTTACACGTGTCCCACTATACAAAATTCAACTTCCCTCTTTCCATCAAAAAACGGTCCAATCTCCCTTCATATAAATTAATACCATTCATCTTTTTCTTTTCTGCACTTTTTCAAATCAAAAAGTTCTCCCTTCTTCTTCCAAACCTCAACAAACTTTTCTGCAACTTCTTCTTCTTCAAAACACAACCAATGGCGTCCTAGAAGAAATCAAAGTCTGGAAAGAGTAAACAAAACAAAAATGATGTTGCTTCCAACCCTTTACTCCAAATAACAACACCCATCATGATTGAAAATCAAGAATTTGTTCCCACACCATCTCCGAGGAATGAACAAATTGCCATCTACGCTTCTCAGGTAATGATTCCCTTCAGTCTTACTTTTGATACATTAGGATATATGGGTCCTATACTCAATGTATCAAATATATCAAAACTCAAGAGGTTTTTTCCTGCTTACCACTTGACTAGACCCATAGCTAGTAAACTAGGGTTAGTAAAAAATCTGCTGAAAATACTAGGGTAGAAGACGAAACAATTCCCCAGAAAAATACTCCTCAAAAGGGTAAAGAACAAAATGAACCCTCCTTTAAGCTAGACTTTGTCACAGAAGTTCTAAGACCCTTTAGATCAGGCCCATAGGAAGAGGAAAAGAAGTACCTTAGATGGTTAACCAGGATAGAGAAAGAGAAATAAAAAATATGGAAAAACCTGGGAATCTTCGAATTGATTCATCTGTCGAAGTTTGGCCCTGAATATTGTCAGCTAATGCTAACAGCTTCCCTGTACTTCTTGGATAGTACTTATAACATATTTCACCTACTCTGTGGAATGTTAACTCCAACACTTTTCGATGTTGCTGCAATCGCAGGTCTTCGACCCATAGGAGAGACTTTCGATCCTACCTTGGACGCCGATGACTCCATCAACTTCAGCAATGCTTCTCCCACTTACAAAAATTACATTGATCACTACTTGGGATCAATAGACGAAGTTAGTGATTAGGAACATATAGCTTTTCTTGCTTTATGTATTTCTCGATGTGTCTTCTGCTGCAAATCTCTGCAAGTTGCCAGAAGATTTTTGACCCTTGCCAACCAACTCCATGTTGGTCGAGATGTTTGCTTGACCGAACTAATTCTTGCTGGACTGTATGAGAGTCTTGGGTAGGCTTCCACAAGATTAAAGAACTTTCAACCCAAAACCAATATTTTACTGGTTGGTCCGTATTGGTTACTTTAATTGTGGCTCAATGCCACATTCGAACCTTCCCTTTCGAATACAAACCCAATTGATGAATCTGACCCTGAAATCCACAATATGAGTGTCGAAGGGACTAGACTAGTTCGTTTAAACCCGGATGATGGAGGGAAAAACCTGCAAGAGTGCTTCACTAGGCACCTGATGATGTTTGCGAAGAGGCACAAATTTACCCCTTCAATGGCACCATTTGCTCAAAGAACACATGGCCCAGAATGGTTCACAAGACCTCTTACTGGCCTTTCAACTGATCAACATGCAAAATCCATCCAGATTTGGGAAGCTTTCCTGATCCCTAGACTTCTTGTTACCAGAATTATGCCCAAGAAAACTCAAAATATTTTACTTACTTACCAACCCAATTTTGTTGCAAGATAATTTGGACTCTGCCAAATCCTTCCTGAACCATTGTACCACCATAAAAGTGACATTTTTCATAGAGGAATGGATTTCACAACTGTCAAAGCGAAGAAAATTATAAGCAAGTTCACAATTTTCCTCCACCTCA